GCCACGTTTCTCAGTTTGAAAATTCAAAGCACCAAAAACCCTGCCCATTTTCCAATTCTGATATCCCGCGGCTGTGCTGACACATCTTATGTTCTGTCTGATTTTCCGAATGTATGTGCCACGACACTTATACTCTGGAGGCTTTAAAGCACATGGCGATGTCTCAGCCCACTTTTCCGCAAGTCGTAGAGGCAAAGTCTTCACATTCGTCTTCATCGTCAGCCGACTGTTCACATAAGCTGCCATCGGCTTAGTTGAGGCAAAACACCGAGGAACAGAAACACTGCCCGGCCACTTAATTAATATTTAGTGATCAAGGTGAAAATTCGAGTGGCTACCCCCTCCTCGATATTATACTGCTGAAGGCCCTTTGCTGAAGCAGGAAACCCGTACTTCGGCTCCGACATATCCATGTTCCGGGTGCGTTTAGCAAATAATGCTCTGTCCCTCGAAATCCCTAAGTGAATGACTCCAAGCTATAAACAGTAAAGTATTTTTCTGCAATAGCAGTTAACGGTGTGGAATGAAGCCGTTAGAAAGGCCGCTCTCCTAGGGGCTATGCTGTCCGACTCTTAAATGGAGGTTCTTGAGGTAACGTACTCATAGAAACGATAATTAACAGAACGGATGGAGGACTTGTAGGACGAAAGCAAACGAAACATACTTTCTTCTCCAACCGATGCCCTCGGCTTTTTGTTAACCAGTGTCTGCTGTGCAAATTCCTTCAACTAAATTATCTTTAAGAAGGTCTCAGGACTGCCACAGCCCACCTTCATAGTCGTGACACTCACGTTGCAGACTTCTTTTTGAAATTGGATGATGCATTCGAAGTACTTGTGGGCGCTGAAACAGACTTTATTCAGATCTATGGAATTGTGTACAAAAATATTTTGTCGACGAAAAAGTAAATGCCTTCTTTAAAATGCACTTTGAAGTCTACTGGGGAAACCTTCTGCATCGGTAACGCGATCGGTCGGGGCGAGCTTTAGTTGAAAACCGAAGAGCTTTCTCTATACAAGTCTGTCACAATTCGATCATCGTTTCCCACGATGTCCACCATCTGCCCCTTGGCATGTTGGAAGCAGGGACGCAGAATTGAGTGCGAATTAATTCATACTGAGAGTAGACTTGCACTGCACCTATCTCACCATCTCCTCCAACACACTACTGGGTCTGGTGTCAAGAACGAGTCGATAAGATCGGAGGCGGGATCGGGTAGGGGGTACTCATGGTCGCGGATGTTGATACAGGGGTGACGGAGGTGGTGGCGGTCGACGACGTCGACTGTGACCTCGGCGCATCATAAATGTGAGTAACGGAGGTGAGGCGGAGGTGTCACATCGTGAGGATTGGTGTAGAAGTGAAAACGGGCAAGTTTGTGGAGGCAGCAGGTGGAGTTGTCAAATTACTGTCCGCAGATATTCAACTAGGCAGATCCGCGAGTAGGAAGTTTGTTGGCAGCGTAAGCCTGTTGGAAGAAGTTGGGTGCTGACGCTGTTGGTCGGAGTCGCCCAAGACTTGGGAGCTTCTCTTTTGGTCTTTGCATCGGTGATCGGACTGCCTTTGTAGATAGTGCTCCAGCCTTCGCTGCTCTTTTCCACGCTGGACGGTCCTGGGCGAGGCCGCCCTTCCCCCCCCCCCCCGATGTATAGGTGGATTTGCAGTTCCTTGCGATTGTTTTCAAGATGTACTTATAGCGTCATTTTTGCAGTCATTGTCGGCGAGCGCCAGTAGCGACATCGCCGGGGAAAAATCGCTTGGGTAAGCGCTCGTCGTTTATTTTCACAAGGTGGCTACTTCATCGTAGTTGCAGTTGCTCCATCTTGGTGCTGATGATGAGGATTTCAGTCCGTTCCAGGACAGCCGTTTCTGGGATCCCATCCTGCCACGTAAGCGTCAGTGTTATCCGGAGACAGCTGAGATGTAAGTGACTAACTTTTCTGACTTGATTGGCACAGACAGTCCGCCCGAATAGTGGCACTGTCCAGAATACTGTCGCGCGCATTTTGAACTTCGTTCTTAGTTAAAGTTTGTGGCGCTTCCAGGCGGAGGCCTACAGACAGTGGAAAGCTTGACTAACTTTGGGGATCCAGTTGGCCACTTCGTCGTCTATTCTTCTTTCCAACAAGAAGTCTATTGTAAAAAACGTCATTTAAACAGTCTAGCAAAATTAGCCAAAGATTAATCCTTTTACAAAGAACTACGTTGTTAAATGTCTAATGCTAATTGAGAATCAAAGGACTTTCTTTTTGTAAACCCCTATAGAAGCAACTGATACTCTGAATGCCCCAAATCTATGGATGTTTTGTGAAGTTAGATAAAGGTCGGGGACTGCAGTCAAGGATAAATCCAGCACAAACTCGTATATGTATACTATATTTATAAGGATACATTACATAGAATATAAAAAAGCTTATATAATGTTGCTTAAATTTCGTCACAACTCCAGTTTCCATTATAAATCCCATTCTGTGTTTAAAGGTAATCGAAGAGCCGCACAAATATATTTATTCTCAAGTGATTCTGTTCATACTCTGAAATGTCGCCTAAAATGTTGTAAGGGCTTAAAGCCACTAAATTGATAGCTTTTAGTCGGTTGGGAAGATGCTGTGGCAATCCAACAAAAATAGTAAGTTCAGTATTATTACCCGTACGCTAATCGGAAAAAGTTTGCTTCGATCATTTTTAAAAACATTTTTCAAAGTGATAAGGCAGCTTATAAACTGCAGTAAACTTATGAGTGACGAACAGATTCTCGATTTCATGCGTTTTATTAGCATCGAATGGATGTTCTATTAAGCTGGTCTAGGCCTTACTAAGCCCATCACACGAATTCCGCCATGGTTGCTTGATACATATTCCCCTCTCTCGTCGTCATAATGGCCAGCATCATCGAGCGATTCCTCACTGTTATCGCAACCTAAAAATCTTAGGTATTGTCGTGATACTAAGCTTTATAACCATCGTCCTCCCAGTCGTCGCCACCGTTATCGGAATTTTTGTCTGAAGCTTCCCTTTGAGATTTGTCTTTTATTGTCCCCATTCGTATAGTCTTAAACTACCACTAAACATCCTACTTTATCTGATCGTCGTTCTTGTCATCGTCGCCACCGTTATCGAAATTTTTTGTCTAACTCTTCTCTCTGATATTTTAATTTTATTACCCTCATTCGTCTAGTTTTAAACTACCACTAAACACCCTTCTTTATCTGATCTGCTCCCCCCCTCCCTACATACCTCCATTGCCTTTCATTCTGAACGACAACTGCTGCTGTCACTTCTATGCTTTGAACCACCTGCCTTCCTAAATTATGCCGCTTGCTATATCTCTCTTTAAGATAACTGGCTGTGTTTCATAAAAGTGAAGTTTTTGTTAACAACAAAGTAGCATCCAGTCAATTCGCCGCGTGGACGGAGAGAATAATATCTTCATCGCACTCCATTTTTTGGTAGTAAATGCATTATATTTATAAATTGTGGCATCTTAATCTTCATATTAATCATACCATGCTAAAACCTTGTGCGCCTTCGGAAGCGTAGGTACTGGAAAAGCGTCCCACTACGGTAAGTTCGTATCTGTTCTGACTAAAACAAAGCTACGTCAAGGAGCGTGAATACAGATTACGTTATCCAGTCAAAGTTAAAGACTAGATTATTTGTCTTTTCAGTCTATTCAGGCTGATTTTTTGTATCAAAGCCCTTAAATTTTTTAATATAGTGGAATGTTTCAAATACAGTTCAATATTTGTTTTGCTGGGCTGCCTGTCCCTATGACGACCAGTATCCATAAAAGATGCGCTGCCGGTATCATCCATTTTATCGAACGACTAACTTAAGTCGGCCGTATTCACGAGCTGAGAGAGGTGGAATACGGGAATATGGAGGTCCCGCGTACTACAGATGGCCTGACGCTAAATGTCAACAGTACCCATTCACATTTTTAAGCTATAATCCTAAGACTGACCCAAACCCCGACCCTCCTAGCTCTAATTGCCTCTTAACCCTTATCACCCAAACTTTAAGGAGAACTGTAGCCCTCATAGCCCTAACCCCAACCATCATGGAGACCTGTAATGCGGCGGGTCCACAGGCAGGTGCCCAATCCACAGAAACGCAGATCGTCATCTAAAGGGGATGTACAATTCTCCTGAAGCAATGTCAAATAACCTGACACCATGTGCCGCGGACCAGGCGACCTGAATGTTTTATGTAAAGAACTGTGAGAAATGATGTACTGTTTTTCCTAGATGGAAGACCAAACATTCTATTCGCAACGGCGGTGAACTGCACATTCTTGTTTGCTACTTATTTAGTGTTAGCATAAGGTTTTAGGTTGACATATTCGATTAACTTCAGTAAAAGCACTTAGTTAGTGTAATCGACCACAGTTTCGATTTATTTTCTCAGTTGCAATACCAATAATAACCGCTCAGAGAGCGTGTCCTAAGGCAAATAACACACTTAACTTTCAATATAGATATGAGATGAGTAAGAGAATATCACAACACTTTTCAAATCAGCTTCTCAATCATTTGAAGATATCATTTTGTTTTTGTTTGTCTGATTCAGTGCATAGTCGGCAAGGGTGTGGTATGCATGTAGTTAACTGCAACACTAACGCCGACCGGGGCCATGACAGTGATAGGTTACCCTCCGACTCATCGTGTTGCTCAAAGGTGCTTCAACGTTCGGACTGGCTAGGCGGCTGTTTCGGCGTCTCAAGCTCCTGATCGCTGAGTTAGACAACACGGTCTCTTTTCCAGCACAATTCCCGGAGAAAATTAAACGGGGTAAGCCTCCATCTAAATGAGGTCATGGTATCTTTCGATGTCAATTTACTTTTACCTCTATTTCCCAAAATCTCGCGGTCGAGACAATCGAGCTTCTACAAAATAAATACGATGAAACGGAGAATTGTCTTGGATAGGCCCTTGAAGTTCTGTCTCAGAAGTTATTTCACGTCCGACAGGACAATCTACGAACAGGTGAAGGGCATACCAATGGGTTCGCCGATTTCGGAATTGATCGCTGAGACGGTGCTGAAACTGTTAGAATCGCTGGTCTTCCTACACCACAGGCCGAAGTTCTCGGCCCGCTATGTGGATGATGCCTTCGTCGTCATCGAACGGGATCAGGTGCTGACATTCAATGAACGTCTCACTACGGTCTTTCCGGACATACAATTTACAATGGAGGAGGAGGAGGAGGAGGAAAACAACCAGCTGATCTTCCTGGATGTCCTCGTTTGCTGCGAAGATGGCGATGTCCTAAAGACCAAATTGTTCACGAAAACGACAAATACGATGCAAGTAGTGTACTTCAACATCAACCACAAAATCTGCCACAAGCGCAGTTGTGTAAGGACGCTCTATCGACGTGTCGAAATGAGCTGCAATGAGCCCGAAGACAAGATTGCCGAAGTACAATACCTTCGACTTCGTCAACCAGGACATACGCAAAGGGACGAAATGCCAAACCGCCCGGACCCCAAATTTTGGCCAACGCTTTCGTATGTCAAGAACGTTTCGGAAGCTGTCGGTTGCCTTCTTGTACCACTTGGGGTTGGAGTTGCACACAGACCGGAAACAACCATCAAGCCCCCGGTAATGAAATCGGAGGACCCGCTGCCACACCAAGAAACGTCTAGAGTCGTTTATCGGATCTGATGAAGTTGCGGACAAAGCAACTACACCGGCGAAACCGGGAGACAGCTCCGAACACGAATAGTCAAACACGCTGCGGAGAAATGAGGCTAGCTCTCAAGTTGAGGCTCATTCGACGGGTTCCGGCCACACATTCAAATTTGATGAGACCGAAATTTTCGCAAGAGGTGACAAATGCGTGAACCGTGAGTTGCTTGAGTCATGGTTTACTGGCCTCCAGTCCATTAGCGAGTGCAACGACCTTCTCCTTTCATACTCGGTGCTGAGACTTCACCTAGGCAGGGAGCGCACAGGTAAGCATTGTTCCCACCGCCGGGGTGGGTGGGTCATATGGTCAAGCATGCATCACGCCAACACCCAAAACACGTGATGAGATTGCAGAACTTAATGTCGCAAATGTCGGCCATCAAACAATCATCCCACCAAGTGTAACGATCCCTGACTGAGGGAAGAGCCGTGAATATCCATAGGTATTCGATAGTATGGCGGCTGCATCCTTAAAATAATGCAGTCCCTTGTTTATGAACTTTCTGATTCTGCTGTCGTTTCTAATGATGGATTCGAGCAGGAATCCGAAACGTCAGGCGAATAAAGCTGGTATCCCAGCGTTTGTTTCCTCGTCTTCACGACTGCTTCCTGGGACTCGTCTCTTCGCTTCTATTGGCCTACCCCTGAGCCTCTAATCCTTTAATAAAAGTTCGAACGGAGCCGTAACCCCAGTGTAGACCCCAAAACTTTAACTCTAACCCAAACTGCTAGCCAAAATCGCCAAGCATATCCTCAACCCCAATTTCACATCGTAACCTGGCCTGGCAGCCTTAGCCGTAAGAATAGCCTAGCGCCAACCACAACCCCGTCCTTGAGCCTGATACGGGCACATTTAGCGTCAAAACGCAAGTGAAGGTCAATGCCCGCGTATCGTGTGACTTGCTTTGTGACTTGCTGCCAGGCAAACCGTCATAAACCACGTTTACCTAAATAAAATTATAAGGTAAATTTTTAAACAACTACCCAGGGGCGTTACATACCCTACCCTTGCCGAATACTTTTTTAAAAACCTGTTAGCGCTGACACTTA